CATTTGCCATTCTTCAACGGTCGCTTCGCTAGCAAATGAGGTCGTTTATCCTTTGGAAAGATGACCTGCTAAAATAGGAATGGCCGTTGCTGATGAAAGAATGGTTCGAACGATGCCCTATGAAAGCTTAAACCATTCCTGGGGTCTTAAGAATCGCCAAGACCATTAATTACGCTCCTTAATGGTATCGTAAGCCGCGAACGCGAATGCCGAGATTCGTTGCAAATGTGAATTGGCGGTGAACTTCATTAGCATAGCTGCATCTGCGCACATTAGCGGCTAGGAAATATGGGAGCAAATGAATCCATCTATTCCTGAACGCAATAGCTTTAAGTCGAGTACGAAATTATGCTACGAACCGTGGTAATCAATTTTTTTTTTCGCTGAGGGATTTCTTCGTTGAAAGCTCTTGTCAAGACAGAATCCCAGAAATCATGGATTCATTTTCCTTCCGTATCCCATCAAACGAGTGCACTTTGAATGTTTATCCGCCGCTGTTGCGACTATCATAGCGTTAAATCTACGTTTGTGTACATGCGGAACATCAGATTTTACGTAACAACCTTTCGCGGTCGTTGTCGGCAACGTGTAGATCGTATCGCTCCCCGACAGAGCATTTTACGTACCGTGACCCCGAGATATACGATGTGGCGCGTTGGCTTTTTCATATCTCCAGCGAACTCGTACCATTACAATCGGGGTAAGGAGGGTTGGGTTGGAAGAAGATTGCGGGATTTTTAGGAAATTATGGTACCCGGGTTTCATATGTGAAAGTTGTTTGGGAGGCCTTAACTAAGCCATTGCTCAAGCAGAAGCTTCTGTGATTCATTCGGGGATCAAGAAATCCAACTTTGAACATCACCCCAGACCGTTGGATAATTCGAGGACTTTTCTGTCTGTTAAATCTGAGTTGTGGTTTAGAGTTGACTTCCTTGGCCACTGAGCTATAATGAATTTTATGAACTGCCGCATGGGCAATGCCCTTGGCCAAGCCCTTCCTCCCCTCCCCCCCCCCCCCCTCTCCCACTATCTCAAAAATCCCGGTCACCCGGATCTGCTTACACATTTCTTGAGTAAGATTAATCAGTGTTATGAGAAGCTGGTAGAGAAAAGCCTAGGTGCGTTGTTGTAGAGTCACAAAAACTTTGGATTATTTGAGGAAGAAAATCTTTTGCGTTCACGGCAGCCATGGTACGCTAAGCGAGACATATTGTTTTTTGTTTTTACTAAACATCAACCAGGTTTTTGAAAATTAAATCCGAATGTTTTTCTAGAGCTTGATCAGCCCCACTAAAGTGGTGTGTGACTTTCAAGATAGAACTTTTTTCTTTCAGCGCAGAAGATTCTTGTTTGTACAAGCAAGAATAGCCCTTTCCTTTCATCCCTTTCTTTTTTTGTCGCTCCAAAACAACACGTTGAAAGCGTCAGGATGGCGCCTGCGCCTATTTATTTGAATTAGAGACCGGAGCTTGAAAAGCCATGTATTATGTCATGCTATAACTGTCAAAGTCCCGCGATTGCCGCTTCAATAGCCGACAGATTCGTGGCCGCAGTGACGAATGGTTGATCCGGAAAGCTAATCGCTCTCACTGTAATTTTGCTGACGATGCCGCTTGCTTGAAAAATGCTTGCTGTATATGCAGCGTTGAGCTTCAGAGCTGGGGATCAGATCGGCTCCGCCACCTTTTGTAGGGGTACTGTAGGTATACGGTATGAGGTCACAGTTCTCGATTCTGACAATGTCTTATCCACTGTGGAAGCTTTCTAATTCTGGTGTCCATCTGGCTTTGTCACATAGTACATTGAGCGTGAGTAGGTGCTTTTTTTCTCACCGAACGCAGAATCGCGTTACGTCTGTGAATGGTGCTCTAATGTTCAGCACGAGCACGTCGATCGCATTGTGTCCGTTTGCAGAATGTTAGTCGCGCAGCCTCTGCTGCACAGCAGCTAGCTACCCACCCCCTCCCCCCCCCTCCCCCGCTCCGTCTTCTTCTTTCTTCCCCGGGGACTCCCACAATGGCCATAATTTTGTGCTGAGCTTTGCTGGACATGCCCAGTACATGATGCGCCCTAATCGATCTGGGAGACAATGTCCCTAGAGGAAGTCATGTGTTGGAATGACCGACTGCCACACTTGAGTGGTATAGTAGAGAGGAACCAAAGGGAAGATAGCAATTTTCTATTCACAGAACTAGAAAAATTGTCGGAGCCGTAAGAAATAGAAGTGCACTGCATAATAACAGCTCAAGTATACTCGAAAGTGCAAAATCTCTAGAAGAGAACGTTTCAGATGAGAAAATTGCAGCTTCTTCTTCTGGAATGCAAGGGTACTAGGCGAAACTTCTGCTTTCTTTATGGGTAGCTTTTCTAGGTATTCGCGCAATTATTCTGTTCTGTAAGTAAAAAATCAAGATTTTGCAAATATATAAATGCAAGGATGCACGGTTACTGTTGTTTGGCTTGCGGAACACTCGCGTTCTCCAAACCTTTCGCAGAACAAAGCCGGCAAGCCATTGTTTGAGTTTTTTCTCTAGAGGGCAGCTTGGGTTGCGTAGAAAAACCTTGAATTTCGTGAAAGCTACCATGCGTTACCCACACCCGAAATCTTTCAATGAAAGTGGGGTATGGCGATTACCTGTTCGCTCATAGTAGCTCGTATAATTAGCATGCGGAAGCGGCGAAAGGTGAACGAACGTCGTCGAAGCGAGCACAACGAAACTTTCGCTTGAACGTCGTCGTGGCGCGACCTTAGCTACTCGTCCGATGGTTGATGTGAAAACGGCGGCCGTTGTGAAAAGAAAGCCGGCTGCCGACTATGAACGTATTTTTCGTAGATTGTGCGGTTGTTTGATGTTATCGTTCCAACTAATGGCGCCGTGTTCGTGCTGCAAAACTTAGCAAAGAAGTGTTCCGAAGATGTTGGGGATTGTGGAGTTGGCCCTTTGGAGATGGTGGCCTTTTTCTGGTAAGGTGGAGCGCTGCCGCGTTCTTGGCTGCGAATCTCACATCCGAAAGTATATATTGGCAGTAAAGCTATTCGTTCCCGTCCGTTCCAACGTGTGATCGTCGTCGCCTATCATAAATGCTGGCGATATTACTCGTTTGCAAGTCGGTAGCCTGGATAGAAATGACGACGTCCTTCGAAACACTTAGGACATCGCGCGCCGTTACGGCAAGCGAATCGTTCGAGGATAGTCGGCGAAAAAAGCCGGTATGTGACGATGATCGGATGTCTTACAAGGGAAAGATGTTGTTAATATGTGAAAGGAGATGGGCGGTTTGAAATAGAAATGTGAGAGAAATCTTCATCAACTTACATCGTTCTGTTGTGACTAACTTATTATGTGAGTCTGCACACTACGCACCGCAACCGACGACGCCCTTACTAGCAAATCCTCAGTGAAGCTGTTTTAGGCTCACAAATTATCAAAATGTGTACCACTGAATAATACATATCCAGTTGAATCAAAGGGAAAAGGAAACAAGGAGAAATCAATGGTATGAGCAGGCTCTAATCTTACAAGTTCCTAGAGAGAGCGCTTGGTGTGCAATACTAGACTAAGTTACAAATGACTCGGCATATTTCTTTCGAGAAACGATGTCCTTTCAAATAATAATGCACCCAACTTTCTCTAAGCACTTCTGTGGTAATTACCCACTTGCATGAAGACTATATTTTTGCTTTTTTATGATGCTAATTTGGAATAACACTGACTCTACATAGCCATTTTTGGCGCAAAACTCCTATTTTCTTGAAAACTGTTTCCAACGGCATGCGCCGAGTTTTCAATGAGGCTATAGTCGTTCGATGTTCTTCCTAGCTTTTTCTGCTTGTGTCTGATGGATGAGTGCCATCAACTTGCCGGGGTGTACATCTTTTCGTCGCATCCAGCGCTCTCACCTATGCTGTTCATCTGTCATTGACCCCAGGTGGTCTTCTGCTAAATCTAATGGTGTGAAAATTTGCGCACCAAGGGGCTTTGATGCTTCGGATCCAGGCTAGATATGTTTTATGAGACATGAAGTATGTTCTTCACCAATGTATCCACACTGGTTTGTTATGGTCATAAGCGTCATCCATCTAACATTGTCGTCAGTGCGCTTGCCAGCAGTTCTTGCGTTGAATGAGCCTGTTCCTGACACTAATGTATGGCCAGTTCGGCCTGTTTGTGGAGGTGTTGAGCTGGTAATGCTTGTCAAGAATACGATTGTCTGCAACAAAAACTGATCCTGGAACTATACATGCAGAATCGCCTTTTGTGTAGTTGTGGATGTTCGGTATGGATGGATGCGTTGCATATGCGATGATGGTAGATTGGTCAGAAGAAGCGGGTGTGGTAGCAGCAAGTTTTGTGTACGGGCTTGTCAATCAGTCATCTGCGATTGACAGTTGTCAGATATACGGTTTTCGAGCGTCTAGCATAGCAGGCGTGGACGAGTTGGCACAGTATCAGGTCAAGTTTTGGCTGATTGACAAGCAGCTGGGACAGCAAGCATCATAGGAAACTAGATTATCTCTTTGGGCAGTTTATTTTTCAACATCGAATAACCGCCATCAAATAATAAATTTATGCTTAGTCTAGTTGTACAACGGTTTTTAATGCTGCTGCGGTGATGACAACATTTGCGCGTAAAAAATGACCGTACACCTCAGTTTTGTATGTTGCGCTCCATGGCGAGCGCTGTCAGCGATGCAAGAATACTATGAAAACTTTCAGTCTACCAAAGTATGGTACTATTGATCACCCAAATTTTTGGGAACATGTTCAGTAGGCTTGGACGTTGCTGGTCTGATCCCGAATGGAATTGCTTAAGTTTTTGACCACTGTTCCATAGAACTCACTCTCTAGTCATCCTAATCACACCTTTCTTCATCGCAAAAAGAGTGCTGAAAAATTATGAAGAAGAGTAATGTGCAAGAACTGGATATGTGACGACAGCTTGGCAGATTGTGTTAACCCGCATAAAGAAAATCTCAACTCATAATTTTGCATTTTCAGTAGGCCTCGGTTATCGGTTTGGTGGACATGGATCGCAGTCCACAGAAGAGAGTGATCATTTCAAACTGTTGGAGGCCGATGGAGATTCACTACTTGTTGGAGCGCGGTAAGTGGATCGTTCAATGCTTTTTGCGTACAAATCATACTTCAACTTGAGGTTTATTGACATTTTCGCAATAAAGTTCCAAAACGACCTATTTGAAATGATTTTCAAAGTACGTGTAAGGCAAATTGAAGCTAATGCGCTGACAGTTCTTTAGCTTGTTCCGTCTAGTATTTATGACATCGTAAACGGTAGGTTGTGAGTGACCGAGCGAGGTCAACAGAATTTACTCCCTTTAGTGGCATTGGCGATTAGAAGTGTTTGCGAAAAGTTCTAGAAGTAGTCAATTGGGTGTGAAGTTACGCGCGGTCAAGAGCACTTTTGGAGCTGTGGGAAGGCAGAGAGAGGGAGCCAGAAAGAACTTTTCGGAAGAAGTACAGTTACTACGAAAAGGTTTTCTTTTCTAGAAAATCGCATGCAAATTTCTTGGGGTTCCAAAAATGTATTCTCTAATGACGTAAGAGTAGAATGCTGATTTCCAACGAGCGTGAATAAATAAGTCAACATAATGAAGAGATCACGATCAGTTCCAATGCTTGTAGCCCCAAATGTAGTTTGCTCGATTGTGAGATAAAAACTCTGTTTCTATGTACAAACAATCATAGTTTAACATGAGGATCGGTAAACGCTCCCCCCCCCCCCTCCCCTAGGAGGTCGAAAAGAATTGAGTGGAAAATATTGGCTTTTCTGATACTGACAAATTGCGCGTTAAAAATGACCATAAAGGTACGAAATTTCAACTTCTGCGCCCCAGAACCATTTTGCACGCGCAGTTGTTGTTGGCAACGCATGCACGCTATGTCAACCATCAACTCTGCTAAGCTACATTTTTCAGAACTAAAAGGAATTGATCTAGGTGTTTTGCCTTACGGAAAAGTTTTAAAGATTCTTTCTTTCTGAGCAGTTTCTTAGAAGTTAACGGACGCCACTGCTTGATTTCATCTTATGCTATCCGTCTTTGTTTGCGATTTTCTTCGAGTACGAACGCTAATACTTGTCCATTGATGTCAAGTATGACCTCATCACCTCATTAGACGTCTCGATTTGGTCCTCATCAAGGCAGTTTATGTGGCTATTGTTGACGATTCCAATGTCTGTTTGGGACGCGTTCCAGCAATATGCGTGACGTTCAGTTACGCAAAACGGGCGCGCATACGCGAGCATAAACAGTTCCAATTAGCTGCACGAAGAATTGTTTTGCTGCACTGATGGGTGACGAGGCAAATGAGGTGATTGTATGGATAAAAGGGGATTGAATACGTGTGCTCTAGTTGAGGTGCAATGGCCTCTCTATTGGGTTTGATTGGAGAGGGGGGGGGGGGAGAGGGGATATTCCCAAACGCTGAGTGCAGATCTTTTCATACTGAGCCCTCCACAAACTCGTCCCAACTAAGCGTTATTGATCGATCTGAGAACTACTGAAATGGCATCGTTCAATGACACGCATCGTTTGCCACGAGGTCCGAGGACGAGTACACCGTGAAGTGCGCCAGAAGACGACATTTACGGAGAATAAATGAGGGACAACCGTCATCCCCACACTCAGCATAGTCATTTTCCATGACCGTTGAAGAAGACCCGCTTCGCGCGGTCATTTATCCAGGATGTCGTTATATTGCTGATGTCAAGTGCAAATACGGCTATGGTAATGCGATGTCGGCGAAGACAATGGTAATTTATAGCTGAAAGACACTGTTTATACAGTAAACGCTCGACAGGGTGCCACCGCCCGTACGAAGACGGCATCTGCTGCCCACTCTCATTATGTAAACGAGCCGTCTTAGGATCCGATCAATCTCTCCTTATAAGGATAAGCAGCATATTTGGACCATGAATCGGGGATTGGAGCTGGTGACAGGTGGGACTGTCGAAACTGAATCACCTGGCTGTTTGAAGTAGTCTGAAATATAAAGAAGTGATTTTGGGCTACCTTAGGGTAAAGGAATCCTGGCAGAAGTGCAAACTGTTTTTCATTTGAATTTCGGCCGAGTATTTATCAAATCCCCGTTATCCGATTGGGCGCTGATCATAAAGGAGCGCCTGATCTGGCGATGTACTATAAAGATAACAGCGCCCGATTAGAGACTGATTATCAAACACTGCCCTAATTTCATGGCAAGCTCCCAGGCTGCTCTGTGATGGACTCGTCATTGGTAGGCATATCCTGTTCATATCGTGCCATAGTTACCCCGGATTATAAAATCAGTCATGCACGCTGATTAGCATAAAGGGAGTGGACGTATTGTGTGTAACATATGCGCGTGCAGCCCCCAGGAGACAGGTCAGCATTGTTAGGGGAGGGAAAGTTAGTGAAAGGGAATGAGGCCATATCCGGGAATCCGGTATCCGTATACAAGTTGGAGAGAATTTCCGCTTAAGGGGATGAAAGGATAACGTCGCTTGAAGTTTTTTTTGACAACATACATGGCCTGACTTCTCGAACATGGTCGTAAATGTACTAAACTGGGTACTTGCTTCCGCGCAACGGCATTGTCATGTCGATAATCGAATTTGGCACGATGGTGCAAGGTTATAGCGGCGCCAAGAGAGGGAATCAATCGGTCCTCGGATAATTACAATGTGACTGACGGCAAAGTTGATGGCTGCTAGAGGTCAACGAATCCTCTCCTAAACCGCACACAGACCCCTGGACCCCTGCCGAGACCGGAAGGTTACGCAAGACAATGGGCTCAGTGCCTTATGGAGTAATGTTGAGTTTTTGAAAGAGACCGAATTGCGAATTGAAGAAATTGCGATGTGGTTTACCTATACCTATACTTTAGGATAGAAAAACTTTTTGGAAATTTGCCTGGTGACATCGTTTCCTGAAAATGATGCGTGGAAAACACTATGAATAAATGTGTTTCGATTATCTCAAGATGACTGTAAACCACCTGTACAGTACTTATCCATATACCGCAGTAGATTAGGCATGTAGGCGGAGCTGTTGATTGGGGCGGAGCTTGCCATGTTCTATCGTTTGTAGCTGCGAATTACGTAGAGATTCAAATGTGCACGATTCGGGTGTATAAGAATAAATGATTATTTACGATTATCAATCACACTTAAATGCGTCCGTTTCATATGACTCCAAAGTGTAGGAACTCGAGCTCTCCCTGGAGCATAAGTTTCAACAGTATGAGCACTGAGAGGTTATCTTGAGCAAAAGTCCTTAGTTTTTGGCCTTCAATCAACGGTCATTCACTCTCTATAGGTATACTTGGTGTTTTCTTGAAGAGTTTACTTTCTTCTGTCGAGTGTTATACAGATGCCCATATTAATATTCGCCGTTGCGCAAACACCGTACGATTGTACCAGAACTCTTTGCAACCTAATAGCTAACCTGTTCTGCAATCCTTGATCTTTTTTCACGAGTGACAAGCCTGAAACTAGTCTATAGCTTTTCACACAATGACTGGCAACAAGCTAGCTGTCATCGTTACCAAACACTTAAGTTCTTAGCGTGTAAAACGCGCGTTTACCGTTGAGAGCAATTTGGCGCGGATCGTCTTGAAATTGCATCGTCTAAACGATGTCAAACGGCACGCGTCGTTGGTTTATTAGGACTGTGCTAGTTTTGCATGGAAAATGTGCGAAACACATCTTACGAGCTAGCACATGTTTTTGGATGTGAAAGATGTAATACCATAAAATGAATCTACATACTAGAGCTTGTTTGATAATGTGTCCCACTTCGAAACAGCAGAATGACCTGCCATGTGAGGCACATGATGCCGTGGAAAAACATTACAGCGCATCGTTTCTTCATCGCATATTCCCCATTGTTTGCCACAATGCGGACGTTCAACATATTCATAGGTTAGGGCATTCTATCAGGAACAATCGGGTATTTTGGTGAATATAGGGAGAGGAAGAATACAGGGATTTATGGTTGGCACGACTAAGGGTACAGCGGAGACCTAAGATTTTGTAGTGTTTTTTACAGCTCGAATAAAAAATGATCAGGTTCAGCAATAACGAAATTTACTTATTTGGCAATGTACTTTCTTGTCTACAATGTTGAGAACTTTGATGTCGGTGTTTTTCTTCCTGATGCCTTTCTGCATCTTTGAAATTTATGCGTAGCTTGATGCCTGTGATCTCAAACCTAATAACTCTCCATACTCTTACGGCTCAAAGAAAATTGCACAATATCTACATACTCTATTTTTCTTCAAAGATGTCAAGAAAATCAGGCTAAACATTGGCTTTTTTTGGCATCAACACTTTTCTCGACGTGCAGAATGTTCTTACCGTGTAACAATGAGTAAATCAGCTACTTTTTACTCAGAAACACGCCTATGTTTACAATCTGACCTGCGAATAACGAAAGTCACATTGTTAGACCGTGTGCTAAATACTCACTGACCGTAAAAATGAGTGGGTCCGGTTTTTCGCAATATCTACTTTTGGTTTTATGAAGAATGTTTCTTATTTAGGTATCAAACTTTCGTCGTAAATGACTCATTGACTTTTTTTCAGTAATGCCGTCTACAACCTATCAGTGACCACTCTCAGTGTTCATCATGTAAGTTTTTTGTATTGCTATTATTGTTCGTTAGCTTGCTAGTAATCCTATCGTATCTGTTCGTATGTGTATACGAACATTATTTGCATAGAGCAGGATAGTTTATGCGCAAGCACTTGAGCTCATAATCCTACTGTATACAGATTACCATCGCCAGAAGTTTATTTAGTGATGATTTTGGTTTGGTTTGGCTAGGCTTAGGTTTGAAAATCATGACTAAAGTCTGGAGAAGTGTTTATATGATCTGTTTTTCAGAAAATCGACTGGAAACCACCTGCTGATGTGATCGAAGAGTGTTTGATGAAGGGGAAGCTGAAGGTGAGAAGACCTATGCATCAATTCTTATTTTTTATACATGATTTCTTGATTTTATCATCTGAACTTTTTCCTTCTTCACCACATTCCTATTATTTAGAGCGATTGTCAGAACTATATCCGTGTTCTGGCACGGCAGTCTCCTGGGAAAGCCCTGATCTGTGGCACCCACGCATTCTCACCCAAGTGCCGTGAGTACGTATACTCTAGCATTGACGGCACTCTAAAAAATACTCGACAGTTTGATGGACAGGTATGGAAATTTCTGAAATAACTCATACTATCTTACACTATTTGTCTTTCAGGGAATTTCACCATATGATCCTCGCGATAATTCGACTGTTGTTTATCTACCAGACACGCATGAGATCTACACTGGTACAGTGTCAGACTTCGTTGGGAATGATCCACTGATATACCGTAAGAGGATAGGTGAAAATGATAGAGATAATGGCATTAGGACCCAGAGAGACGACGCTAGAGTGCTTGATAGTGAGTTTGGCGCAAAAATAATTTCCTGTCAGATTATCAATCGATGATTGTTTAGCGCCTAACTTTGTTGGCTCATTTGTGTACAAGGAGCATGTTTACTACTGGTATAGAGAACGAGCTGCTGAAGCTATGGACAACAATGAAGAGCGGCAGGTTAGGGGTTTACTCTCAGGTCAATTCAAAATTTAAATGACCGTCCCAACTACGCACGTTCTTTTAGATCTACGCCAGAGTAGCTCGCGTTTGTCGAAATGATAAAGGAGGTGCACGACCTGCTAACGAACGCTGGACTTCATTTATGAAGGCTCGACTAAACTGTTCGTTGTCTTCTGCAACACCATTCTACTTCAATGAGCTCAGTGAGTATTTTTTTCATTCTATAAATCTTTGGATTTTTCGGTCCAAGACAGTTTTTGATTCCAAGTACATAAGCTGGAGTGCATCTAATAGGTAGAAAAGTAGAGAAAGTACATTATAACTCAGACACATCCCAACCACTATATTGCTGATAATTTTTTTGTACATGCCGTTCTATTTTTGAGCCACAAGCAAAAAGTTTCTCACCCTCTTATAACTAAAAAATTCTGTTTTCTCAATTTTGCAAGCTACATCTAGGCCATTCCCGGCACACTGAGATGCACTTAACCCTTACATTTATCTTTTAGAAGCCGTGTCGGATCCGATAGTGTCGTCAGCGAACGACCATAGAGTCTATGCCGTCTTCTCTACTCCAGACTCCGACGTTCGAATGAGCGCGGTTTGTGCATTTTCCATGAAGCGGATAAGGGAAGAATTTGACTATGGAACGTTCAAGCAGCAAGTAAGGCATCGCTATATTTTTTGAGTGATGTAAACGCTAAGGTACCCATTTTAGCGGACGGTAAATTCACTGTGGGTTCCATATAACCGTAATGAGATACCAAGACCACGACCGGGTGCTTGTGTGCCAGATTCAACAAAACTGCCTGAAGCTACAGTGTCTTTCATTACAAGAACTCCATTGATGCATAGGGCCATAGAGTCGATAAATGGGCCCATGCTTATCGAGGGATCGGACAGGGCTGATCTTACACAAATCGCGGTCTTGCCACATGTGAGTTGAATCCTTTCTATATGGTGCTCAGACATTGCAAATCTGATTAAGGTGGATTCTGTTAACGGTCAGAATTACGACATCATCTATCTGGGAACATCCGATGGCAGAGTTTTGAAACTGATAGAAACTGTTGGCAATACGACAGTAATCGAGTCGGTGACCGTGTTCTCGAGGACCATACCTGTGGTAAGGCATACTAATTTCCAAAGTTTTTTGAGCGATGACGGATTCATCTTCTCAGGTAAACTTACTCACGACACCGCGTCAGTTAGTTGTTGTATCGTCCGATGAAGTAGCGACAATCGACGTTCATCACTGCAACGAACCAGATTCATGTAACCGCTGTGTAGCTTTGCAGGATCCGCATTGTGCTTGGGATCTGACCATTGCTAGGTACATAGGCTATTTTTCATTTCTTTTCATGGCGGTGTTTGATTTTGTAAAATATTCAGGTGTGTGAACAGAAACTCATGGAGTGGTGGTCATTTCATACAGAACATCGTATTCGGTCAATCGGAACAGTGTCCAGAGGGTATAGTGATTTCTGAGGAGCTGAATGATGGTAGGTTTGGGGATTAGTGAAGGGATGACTGTGTTTATCGAAGGGGTGCTCAGTAAAGTTTATCTGAACGGGTTTATATGGAAATGTTTGGGAGGTTCTAACTAAATTGTTTTAAAGTGGAAGCTTACATAAATTACTAACGGCTGAGAAACCTTGGCTCAGCACGGTGCTTCTATTGTACTCGGTGATTCTGATTGGTTTGACACGGAAGAGTACGGTCTGGACTCTAGTTCCGAGTTGCGTCTCTCAGCCACGGTTGAATTATAGGTTTTTGTGTTGAAAAACTACCCTAATTTCACGCGTACAAGGCGCACCTTTTTCGATTTTTCAAACGAGCCGCTCTACCGCTTCAATGTGTTTCGGAAAGCGAACCTTAAACCGTTCAATTCTCTCAGGCAATACGGAACCCGGTATAGGGTTCTTTGGTCGTGAAGTGTAGTGGCGTGTTTGGGCTGGCGGATTTTAGAAAAAAAATCCCCCGCGCCTTGTACGCGTGAAATTAGGGTACTTCATCATTTGGAAGTAGAACAGTCATTTGCGCTAATTGTAATTTATGTAGGTTATCTTCGGAAGTTTCCCGACCCATTTTTTCCCTCGGTCGTGGTATTTACAAAAATTCAGCTACCCAAATGTGTTACTGTTTATAAAAAGTCTTTCTGCGCGAGGCTCTGAATGTTTCTATAACTAATTTAAGTTCGCACTAATCTGCAAAATTCCCATCTGGCTTGATTACCTCCATTCCAGTAACCCAGTTTGCCCTCAAGACGAGTACTCGTTACATAACTCATAATGGTTGACCTGAATCTTTCCCTAATTGGCGAGCGTTATCCATTTAGGTTCACGGTCATCCTTGTGTACATCGAGTATAGTGTCCGCTAGAAACATACGGTATTTAACGGGGGGGGGGATAATTATTGTTACTCAACCCATCAGTCGTAGCGGGAATACCATCACCAGCAGTGATTACTGCTGGCTTCCTGTCTACATGGCAGTTGCGCCATCATATTTAGCAACGACCTTAGCCACTCACTCATCCTGAGGTCATTCATTCAACCCCTGTGTTTACCTTTCGCTGGATTGATGCTCGTCATTATAATGGCGCTATGCGAGTAGCAAAGCATTGGCATAACCAGTTAACTAGCAAGGGAAGCGAGATCAAGGATCATATAATTTCCACATCCTGATATTTTAGAGCTGTAAAGAATTTATTTTTGGTAATGATATTATTTTGCTCCCTATCCAATTCGGTCAACTAGCTACAACCTAATGCCAAACACATTCGCTACTAACCGAGCTTATTTGCAATTCTGGTATAAATTGTATGAGCGTGCTTGAACACCAAGTGACTGTTGGAAATTTCGATTTGTATCAGAGGGAAAAAACACCTGATTTAGTTGTTGCATATTACAGAAGGACCGCGGAAGTCTATCATATGAATCTGCGCTAAACTGCAAAAGCCGATCTGAGAAACATGAGAATCTACGTTTTCTTCATTGATATAGATATTTCAGAGCCGAGTTCTGAGCGAGTTGTGGAACCTAAGAGAGGGATGCACACAGCTGAGAGTCTGTTCCTTGCATGCGGCTTGTCCGCGCTGATCGCCCTGGTGATAGGCTCCTTCGTAAGTCTAAACAGTAATTTTTCAATAATATTATTTACATTAATCGTTCTATCTAGGTCACATACCGCGTCACGCGAGCGCGTGTCCTTGCTGAAGCTCATCACTCAGCAAGTTCGACAAGCGGTTCTGATTATGATAGCTTTGGTCGAGCACGATTAACGCGGCATGATTCGCTAACAACAGCAGCGAAAATCGAGCACGTCTATGGTGGACCCCCGAAATCGGTAAGATTTTATATTCATACTAGCTGGCTTACCCGGCTCCGCCGTATCCGGACCAAACTTGGCACACATACACTTCGGGCCCCGGCGGGTGTCACAGTCCACTTTTCGTTATCGATCGATGTCGATTTTACCGATTTTTATCGATTTTTTTGCAGAGTTCACCTACAGGGCTAGGAGTTGGCACAGGGGGGAAGTGAGCATGGGGATTCCGAATACAATATTAGTTTTCAGAATTATCGATTACTTTTATTGATTTTATCGATTTTTTGTAAATTTTGACATGCGAGGCTGGGATTTTGCACAGGGGGGTAATCGAGCATGCTGATTACGAACACAATATTAGTTTTCAGGAGCGTCCATTACTTTTATCGATTTCATCGATTTTTTTGTAAAGTTTGACCTGCGCGGCTGGGAGTTTGCACAGGGGGTAATCGAGCATGCAGATTACGAATACAATATTAGTTTTCAAGATCGTCCATTACTTTTATCGATTTTATCGATTTTTTGAAAATTTGAGCTAGGGGGCTGGAATTTGGCACAGGAGTGTAATCGAGCATGCTGATCACCCCCTTGGGGATGATCAGCATGCTCGATTACCCCCCTGTGCCAACTCCCAGCCCCCTAGCTCAAACTTTGCAAAAAAATCGATAAAATCGATAAAAGTAATCGATAATCCCGAAAACCAATATTGTATTCGGAATCCCCATGCTCGATTACCCCCCTGTGCCAACTCCCAGCCCCGTAGCTCAAACTTTGCAAAAAATCGATAAAATCGATAAAAGTAATCGATAATCCTGAAAACCAATATTGTATTCGGAATCCCCATGCTCGATTACCCCCTGTGCCAACTCCCAGCCCCGTAGGTGAACTCAGCAAAAAAATCGATAAAAATCGATAAAATCGATATCGATCGATGACGAAAAGTAGCCTATGACACCCGCCGGGGCCCGAAGTGTATGTGTGCCAAGTTTGGTCCCGATCGGTTCAGAAATGGAATTTTCTATTCGGAACATACGTACAGACATACATACAGACAGACAGACAGACAGACATACATACAAACAGACATTCAGCTTTATATATAAGATGATTGCGATTGTATGGGAAACGACTGCGTTTGGTACACAATAAGCTGGTACCGTACTCTTACCCACTTCATCTCAAGAAATTAGGGCTTCAATCAACAACATGGCTTATCATTTGACGTAGGAGCAAAGCCTCGTGTTTTTTTTCTTGACGTAGATGACAGATCATGTCTTAGTGATGCTGCATTTTGTCTTGAACCGGATTGATCAAATGAAGTGCATGTAGAATAGTCTGGAAGCCATAGGAACGGTGGCTCTAACCCGAAAAAATCCCTCACATTTTTCTCCATTTCAGAGTGTTGATGCCTCATCTCTAGTGTTGACGATGCCGCCAGCAATGACAATGAGCCAGCATACTTCTGGTGTGAATACACCGTCTCGCGACAAGAACGCGATTATGACGTCGATCAACCAGAATACGTTGCCGCGTGATTACAAAGTGAAAAAAGTCTATTTGTAGTTGTTACGTTGTAGCTTTCTCCACTGGTTACTATCTGATGTCGTTTAGCGATGCGATAACTCGATTCTCCACTCCTTTTTAGCTTCCAAAGCAGAGATTTGAACCCTTAGTATCGCGAGTTATCGTAGTCGATAGCGCGTCGCATTGGTGCCAACGTCGTCGCTCTGCGATTACGTGCGTGATACGTGTATTTGTGATATGCTTCACTTTGGCCTACTCTCTCTCTTTTTGTAAATGAATGGTGCTCGACAAATCGCGACACCGAATGCGATTTGTCGCGCAATACCAATGGCCCGCGATTCCTTCCCTTTTGACACCGGTGATCGTCGTCATTTCTTGCTTCTAATTTCTTTGTTCTAGTTTTCTCGAAGTTCTGTGAGACTCTCCATCCTCTTTATATCAATTTTGAACATATTTATCAAGTTGATCTCAATTCTAGCGGATGTTCACCAGATGCCGTTTCTCTAGCTTGGTGTAATTGTGTCTCATCTCTCGATTTTTTCGCAGCTGACTCGAATATGCGTATTAATTATAGATCTACTATAAGTGTACAAAGTCTTTTTTTATGGAATGAGTATTGATAAAATTCTTATCTTCGTTGTAAACGGAATTCATTTGTTATATCGTTTTCTAGTTTAGCAATTCCACCATAGTTGGGAAAACTGTGTGGCTGGAAAAGGGACCCTGGCTGTTTTTCCACAAAAGTCAGGGCACGACACAGGTGGCATTAGATTTCTGGACACCGGAGTCTTTGTCATTGCAAGAATTCCGTCTTTGGCACTTATACAATTATTTCTCGTAGCAAGCGTGACACACTTTTACAAACAAAATGAGAGAAATAGCAGGCGAAAAAAAAACAGCGATTCACTCTATCAAACTGTGAGCTCCAAATACAAGACGAGGCTGAGGATGGCGTAGACTCTTCTGCTATCGTAGGTGAGTTTCAGGGCATAGATCCAAAAATGCCCGATGCTTCTTGCAGTTAGAGTAAAATTGTATTTAACATTCACATATTGAACTATGTATATGCAAAAGGTGCCGTTTAGACCTTCACAAGAGAGTTCCTAGCAAAAAAGCGGAAAAAAAGGTGTAGTGATTGCACTGGGCGGCGTGTTGAGACCCTAGAAATTTGGAAATATATGATATAGTACTATGACTATATTTTGCATCGGACAAATGGTAAACAAATCTCAACCAGTGCGAACAACACAGAAGAGCCATCGTTTATATGATCTAAAGGGTCGCATATACCATAAGCGATGAAATCGTTGCGAATTCTAATCGTCGCGATTTGCTGGGGACTAGCGATGAAAATGCGGGACGAGATCGCTGATCGCTTGAACATGGGCGTGTCACTACAGCGATTTGTGCAATCTCACAATCAATGTTCATTCCACAATCATAAGTAGCCTAATCGGATGGTTTCTCTAGTCTTTGTTGCAAAAGACACAATGTAATGAAGGCGAAGCGTAGTTATCACTTTCAGTGGCCACTGTATTATGACTGAAGTTCAAACTTATACGCATTCTAAAGTATACACTTTTGGTCACAAATTATCTTTTTTGCCGGTGTAAAGGTAATGTGTTATCAGTGGTTTTGGTGTGATCTAATGATCGAATTTATCTCGATCAATTGTGCCAGCAATCAAACAACAAATTGACAAGCTGACAAGTTCGTCTAGGTACAAAAGTATTGAATAACAGGAAACCAATGTACTCCGATAAAAATCCACTAGTTCCGTTTCCAGGAAAGAAGCTGGCTTCAGAAGATGAAGAATGACCATAAACCTTACGGCAAGGAAATCAAAGAAGAATGACCATAAACCTTACGGCAAGGAAATCAAACCTGGCGGCGCCGTTGCGAATTGAGTGACAAGGAATGCATGTTTAGTCGAAGTGGCTTTTTTTAGATGGATGTATGCCATACTGAAGGGCATAAAATGCTGATTCCAAATCTGCCTTCTTTATCTGCAGAACATTCATGGACGAGGAGTTATGAGCGTTTATTGGAGCAAAAAAATTAAGTGTGCAATTAGGGCAAAAATAGCCGTAATACTTTTTCTTGCTCTTCGATGGAGCAGTAATAATCATCAGAGCACTTTATTTAAAAAATGCTCTGAAATAAAAAAATATATTACACTTGGTTGCATTATTTGAAGGCTAATAAGATTTCAGCAATTCATTTTATCCAAACTCACTCAATTTTTGGCTCCAAAAAACGCTCACAACTTCTCGTCCATAAGCGTTCTGCAGATAAGGAAGGCAGTTTTGGAATCAGCGTTTTATGCCCTTTAATACGGTATAAATCTCTTTTGAAAAGGCCACTTCGACTGAACAAGCTTCCCTTGTGAGACGGAAATCGCGGCGATCTCGCTGAACTAGGTATGGGCTAGCAAAAACGGTCAGCGATGCTTCGCGTCGGACAACTAGCACGGCCGACATGCATAATAGGCGAGCAGGCATTCGACGTGTGCCAGTTGTCTTTTCGCAGAATTGATTCAGCAGAAGAAGAAGAAGCGAAGTACAGCAGAAGCATTAATTTGCTGCTGATATGCCCGACCCATAAACCCTGGTCATACCGACAGCGATTTCATCGTCGCTGGAGATTTTCATGGTCAGAGCGACGACTACTCGCTGAACGTTCTTCATAACCATACCTTTGTAGCAATTCGTGTATTCTCTACAAAGTTTAATCAACGTACCACTTTGCTTATGAGTGTTAATTCAGCCAGAGGTTTTCCATTTGCATTACGCGTCCTCCAAATTTAATATAGACTGTACGCTCGTAGTAAGAGTTTACATCATAGGTGCGATAATGTAAGATGCTCACCCCCCTTTCACCCGTGAACCGGAACCAAGGTGGCACCCTTCACCAAAAGCCGAGAAAAAAATCAACAGTGAGGTAAGGTCAAGCAAAGGAGACATTTGTACGGGAATTATTTGTGTATTGGAAAGGAGGAAGAAGATTTATATGCATTCACGAGCTTCCAGGAGGAAAAATGGTAGCTTCTGGAGCTGCACAGCAACGTCAGCGAGGAAAGTTCCGTGGTACAACGTTCCCCCCTGGTTTCAGAGATTAAATAGTTTGCCTAGAGTTCTTTCATAAAAGAATCGTTTATTCGTTGACTGTAACGACTGCTGACCGCGCGGCGACCGCTGCGCGTGCATGATGTTTTCGTAGAAAAGATGAATAGAAAGAAAACGGAGGATTCTTCTCATCTTTATAATGTAGAAAAGAAACAAAGAATTCTTCTCATCTTAAGCCACGGTCCAACTTGTCACTTTTTCGCAAGTTTAGAAGGCACGCGTCGCAGTCGCCACGCGGTCGGCAGTCCGTACGGTCAACGAATGAACGATACCTAGTGAAAGGTGTGCCTAGTGATTTGTAAACACTTACGAATTCTCAAAAAAAATTCATAACTTTTGTAGATCGACATCTTGTACGCCTAGATGATAATCATTGGGACCGTCTCGTCCTCCGCTTTCAGGAATATAGCATGTTTGAGATCCTTCCAAAAAAGTACCTGGGTGAAGGATGTGCCTAGTGATTTCTGGAGAATTCGAGTTTTTAGGATAAAAAAATCTCTAACTTCTGCAGATGAATAGCTGGTGCAAGGTGATAGTCATCGTCGAATTATCTCGTCCTCCGCTTTCAAAAAGTATATATATAGCATGTCTGACAAGGAGGAGTTCGTAAGTCAGCTCGGCCAACTCGGACCAGTCATATATCAACGTAACGAGCTTGGAACGCTGATTCCAAATCTGCTTTCCTTTTCTGCGGAGCAACTCTCTGAAAGAAGTTACGAGTGTTTGAAAGTCCAAATTTGCTAAGTATTGAGTGGCATAAAATTGGCGAAAGCTGTACAATAACACATGAAAGTGGGTTATCAGTTTTGTAACAACTATACTGACTCAAGGACGGAACACAGCGAGTGGAAGTCCGCTAGGTATTGCTTTAGAGCTTTCAGCCAACTTTAAGCCACTTCAAACATGACTAATTTAGACTTTTAATAGATCATAACTTCTTTCGGAGAGTTGTTCCGCAGAAGAGGAAAACAGATTTGGAATCAGCGCTTCAAGCCTGTTACGGTGATACATGGCTCTTACGAGTTGGCCGAGCTGACTTGGGAACTCTTCCTTGTGAGATCCGTCCAAAAAAGTGCCTGGCTGAAGGATGTGCCTAGTGATTTCTAGAGATTTTCGAGTTTTTACCATAAAAAAATTCATAACTTTTGATGAACATCTTGTACGCCGAGATGGTTGCCATTAGAACCAACTCGTCCTCCGCTTCCAGAAAATATATACTTTGCCTGGGGTCCGTTAAAAAGTGTCGTGTGAAGGGTGGGTGAGACCTTATAATGGGAGTGCTCAAGTAAAGGCTTTTTTACCATTGTAAAAAGACGTCTACTTGAGCACTCCCGTTATATTAGGTTGCTGCACAAGTTCTATCCGAATTTTTTTGCCTCATGTTTGAAGCAGCTGTTCTAACAGAATTTCATATCTAATACGATATTGTTAGTATCTTTAGAAAGTGCTTTTCTTGCTCTTTCTAGCGCATGTCAAACTTCAATAAATTTCTTAATGTAAGGAGATTTTAGACTTAAAATCTCCAAGTGATTTTAGACTTAAAATCTCCAAGTGACCGAGGTACGTTCTCGCCCTAGAAATATGTTCTTGTAAGAAAATCTCCACAGTGCGCATTTCATGTCAGGTCCTTCCACCGGTTTCGTAATAAGGGGGTAACAGGCTAATAAATGCATAAGCTCAAATTTATGAAGGAAACGTCTTGCTAGTAAAATCTATTGTCAAACATTAATTTTTTGTATAAAAGTTTTACAAGCAGTAACTTCCTGCAAATAGAAGTAATCGATGAGGTCAAAGCTGGAGGTGCTAGGGTGAAGCAAGAGCTAGAAGATTCCATCCACCTATTCTTTTTCTGCCCTCACGTCCATTGTAAAATTTTCATAATTCGTAAAAAGGCATGCACACAGAGCTGAAGCGAGGTCAAAAAGTGGCTTCTTTTTTGCTCGGTCAAATAAATTTCTCAACAGCGCAGACCCTATGGGCTCCTTTATGTTGCAAAATAATCTACGAAAATTCCTCTATTCATTCATTATTAGATAAGATGCCTATCAATTCCCATAAGGGAGCATTGCCATGTCAAAAAAGACAGGTTTGAAGAAAAATGTTATAAAGTTTTTGAGTTGTTGTTTTTCCCTTAACAAGGTTTTTCGCAATATGCCTCCGATAGCAAAGAAACTGCTCAACACATAGAGACTAAAATCTTGGAAAAAGGTTGACTTTGAAAGAAGTTATGGCACTTTTAACTCAAAAAATTCAAATCGGACAGAGCTTATGCAGCAACCTAATAGAAAAGAGCTTCATTTTGTCGACTGCTTGAGAGATAGTTGGTGAAAAAGCAAGCGAATTAATCTCCCAATGCTTCAGCTTTGTCCTTTTCGCTTATAAGCAACTAGCTGGCTTACCCGGCTCCGCCGTATGTTCCGAATAGAAAATTCCATTTCTCAATCGATCCGGACCAAATTTGGCACACATAC